TCTTTGTCTCTTTTGCGGAATCACTGCTGTTTTCGTATTCACTGTCTATTGCGTTGATTTTTCGCCTTCTTTCATCGCTATTTTCATCACTGATTTCTTCCTTTCTATTGTCAAGTTGTCTATGCATAGATGTAATTTCTTTCTTCATCAACGAAAAATCTCATGTTCACTTGGACTGATTCCGTGCTTATTGTGCTACGCAACTTTGAAAATAATATTCCTATTTGCCACAGCTGTCGAAGACGAATATATATAGTAATAAATCTAAAAAATGTATTTACGGTTAAAGATCGGCAGTTGTTTTATACGCTTGTATTGTTGAATACACTCATGAAGGAATATTGCCCAAATCAAACCTGAATAAAAATTATCACCGCTCAAATTATCCCGTCAAACAAACAGTTGATCGAGAGTCACCTCTCTAGTTACCGCATCAAATCAAGTGTCGACCGAGAGTCGACTCTCGAGTCTGAAGAGTTAATACCTAGATTGTTAAGTCATATAGTATTTCGAACTTTTTCCTTAGAAAATATGAGTATTAATAATCCTAAAATTATCGTAGGTGGAAGGAAGAATCGTGTGTGTCTCATTTTATATCAGATATTAGAATTGGTTAAGCTTAAGAAGAAATACATGTTGAACATCTATTGAAGCCGAACATTGGGCCTTTTGTATTAAAGAGATAGGTGAGTTTCGAAAGCAAAGAATAAGTTATTGAAGAAATTAAAACTGTTTTATTAGCGAAGGTGCAAATAATAAAGAAGGAGAAGTGTCTTTAAAGTCTGCAGTCTGGTAAGTATATCTATAGTCTACAAGGCTAGGGATCAAACTGTACAGTGTATAGTTGGGAAACTACGAGTAGTATACTCATGTGATTCGTGTAATTGTCATATTCATTGGTAGCCGGGAACTAAGCCTGCGTCAAAAGTATCCGTATATTCCTATAGCTGCATAAGCATAAATTTTGAAGTGATAGTGTTATTAGAGATTTTCAAAAAATGTGTGTTAGCCCACCAGCGGCCGGGCGGTAAAGACGCTGAACACTGGTAGTTCGGTCCGAGGTTCGAATCCCGCGAACGGGATAGCTGCATGGGCGTTTTCGTGGTTTTCCCCATGTGTAACGTGTATACAAGCCAGTTTCCCTTAGAAAGTCCTCCACGAAGGCATCCCTCCCTTTAGGCAGATAGCCCTCGTGTGCTTTGCCGTAATTGAATAATCCAATCCAAAATCCAAAAAATGTGTGTTATTATGTTTCAACTTGCAACAAGCTAGTGAAGTACTTAAATTGTCCGATTGGGAATTTCGTTTCAACTGCAGGTGAATTTTATGAGAACATTATTTCTCGTATTTATATTTTAATTTCGTTTTTATAAAATAATGCCTTATCATTTTAGGCAGCAGTAATTATAAATTTGCTTTTCTTCTGCTCATTTCAAAACATTTTAAATTTGTATTCCTTTTCAGGAAAGATTATCGTGAGAAATAAATTAGGAATATCTCTCTTTAGGTTCCGAGCGTGGTAACAAATAGTTGTTATGCACTCCTATAAGAGGTTTTTCATTTGGTGCAGCTGTGCTTGTAAACTGACTGCTTTTTCGGTTATGAAAAAAAAGATTAAAATTTGGAAGCGCTCGACTGTGAAGACGAACGCGTGCTCTCAGAGTGCAAAAGTATTTCCTTCTTACTGAAGCAGACAAGGTCAGACGCCGACGCAAATTCCATTTCTTGACTTCACTTCTTTCTTTTTTGAACTGACTGTTTTATTGCCCGCAATCTTACCCCCATCGTTCAGTTTTATCATTCTACTGAAAGAACACACCCATGATATTGTTGAAAGTCTTGTGTTATGATAGGGAGGCATATGAAATTAAGAGAATTAAACGTTGTCTAAAATGATAAGGTATAGCTGAGGATGTTTTGTTAGCTAATCTAAATGTATCTTTATCAGAGGTTACGTACTCTATCTCGTTAGTTTCATCCTGTAATGTTGTTTTTAGGTTGCATTTTAATCTTTCTTGTGTTATTTTAAATTATTTTAAGACTGAAAAAAATTTTGGAACTTTATAAAAACAGTTTTTGCATTCCATATCATTTTTTATGAAAAAGAAAATTAATGTTTTTTAAAACCTCTAGAGAATTTTAAAAAAAGGTAATAGTTTTATATGTAAATAAATGCAAACATGTTTGTGAACATTAGTAGCTTATCCCGGGGTCCATTCTGTGTTACTGAACGGGCTGATTGGATAAGGTTTCCTTCGGGTGTAACGATGATAATAACTGGTTTCTTTCGAAAAAATTTTCCATAAAGACAACTTTCATCACGGATACCCAGAAGTGGCCGAGTGGTAACTCTGGTAATTCGATCCATGACCCCGGCGAATAGAAGTTTTCGTTGTTTTTCTGACGGGCAGCATGAATGTGATGCCTTTTTTCTTATGAAGTCCTCCACGAAATTATCATTTCCCTTAAGCAAGTAGCCCTTGGTTTGCTGTTCTTTAATTAATAAACATAATTTAATCAAAAGCTGATAGCCCCGTCATTCTGCTGCATAAATAACCAGACGATTGGTTTGTGTTTGGACTTTTAAAATGATTAAAATTGAAGACATCGTTGTAGACAATGCGAAATTTGAATACCATTGCCCTTATGAGTTCTGAACATGCACTTTTAACATTAATATTTTGTGCGAAGTTTAATTAATTCTGAGGTACTATTACTATTAAATAAATCTACGAATTTCATACATTTCCCCTATCATTGTTAAATTGTTTTTCGTATCTAAATGAGTTTAATCCTGCATTTATTCAAATATATATAATGCAGAGTACTCGTATTCCAAAATCCAAGTTGTACCTAAGAAATGCCAAAGAGAAACATGCTTATATCAAATATAAAATTCAGGAGATATCAGTTTTAAATTTACATAGGTTTTATCGAAAAATCGCCGTGATGTCATACGAGACAGGCCGTCGCGTGTCTTTTTCAAGGAGTAAATTTAAGGTATTCCAGTCAGGTCCGTGTCCAGTGAATGCTTGCAAGCCATCTGAAATGCGGAAATAATAATTTGTTATAGCAACGTAAAGTTTCATTCGTTATCTGTCGGTACCCACTAACAGTGTCAAACAGTGCTATTAATCGTGCCGAACTATCCTTTCCTAAATTCGATCCATTTTAAAATTTAAAGTATGTTTCAAAGCAAGGGGCATTGCGTAAATGCGGGGAGGGGACTCAAATGTAACAATAGGTTTTTCAAATGAAAATGATGATGCACTGTAATGGTTTTCACAATGCTACTAGTATTTAGTGCTCTAGATGTCTAAATAACTGTTTTAATTTTTGTTTATTTGATCTAATGACGGGCACTTGCTTATTCAGTATTGACCACTCCTAAGGCCAGAATTGGTAGCTATTTTATTGTGGAGGCACCAAATAATCAACCACCGTTGCCTGCTTTGAAGGGACGGACAGTTACACCCATGCCTTCTCCGGGATTCGAACCTGATCCCTTCGGTACCGTAGTAGGCTCCCCCGACCACTGTAATGTCTGGGCGGCTTTAGGCTGCTTTAGAATCTAAAAATACAGTACTTGATTAATTGGTTGCCAGTTAATTGTATTATTATGTCATGCATGGCAGATCCGCACATAGCCAGATGGATCAATCCGCGAGTTGCCGTTAAATACGCCTTGAGTTCTATTCTTAGCAATTAAGTAGTTGGTTATGTGACTTTTCCCATGCGAAAACTGATTAAGAGGCCACTTCGTTGCCAGGAGGGTCTGAGTGTACCCCCAATGTATTACCTTTAGGAAGTCATCAATGAAAGTATTCCTTCTTTTAGACATGCAGCGTTAATTTTTTTTTCATAATTAAATAATTCCTTCCGATCGAATCATGGTTTGGTTTGCTTGGTTGTGGCAAAAGAACACTAGGTCTATCTGCGAAGGGAGGAATGCTTTCGTGAAGCACATTCTGAGGAAATTTGCCTCTTATCCTTGTTACACGAGGCGAGAACCACGAAAACGCCATACAACCTGTTCCAGTACTCGAACCCAGTTCGAACTACCAGTGTTCAGTAGCTTGATGGTAGTAGAACTAGATGTTCAGTAGAACTAGTGGGCCCAATTAGTCATTATTATTATATTAGTTGTAGAGTGTAAGAACAACTGAATTCGTTTTAAATGCGCAGTGTATACCTATAAAGATTTTTTAATTGTTTTAAGTAATGAGCGGAAAGTATGAAATTTTCCATATAATCATTATGTAAAACAAAATTTAATTTTGTTTCACGTAATTGTTTTAAAGTCTGCTCTTCCTTTTCTTGCGTCAGATGCTGGGTTTTGAAATTTATGAGACTAGCTGCTATAAATGGCATTTAAGGGTTTTTTTCTTAAAAAAAGATCATTGGATTAAAAAAAAAAAAAAAAAAAAAAATTTAAAGTTACCATATCTTTCAGTGTAGAGATGACGCTAATAAGTTTATAAGGTATTTCTCTCGCCTTCGTGGTGTGGTGGTCTGCACGCTGGGCGCGTATTCCAGAGGTCTGTGATTCGATTCTCGGCGTAGGCGTTGCATGTTTTTCAATATCTCTTGCTTCCTGAAAATCCTAATGTCTCTACAAGTTTGTAAATGATATTTACGATTAAAATCGCGTAAAGAATATCTAAAAATCAAGAGTTTTACCAGCCGTAAATGCGCAAGTTGCAGAATTCAGTGTATTAAATCTTCAATTACCTGTTAGGTAGAAGCTGAACAAATGCGTATCTCGCTTTCAGTTATGTACAGAATTATAAATAATTTCAGATTTTGTAAACTAATCGCTGTATAGATGTGTGTGTGTGTGTATAGATCACGCCAATTTGTATTTTAGAGTATGTTTATTTTTTTAGTACATATTAACATCAAATCAGTAAGGTAATTTAAAATTTTACTCAGCAATGAAATTTTTGGATAATATTGTTTATTATCTTACTGATTTGTATATATTTATTTATGTGTTTCAGGGCATCCGGGAGTGCGGATGGTGCAGAATAACAGTACAGGACCTTTGCCCGTGCAGCTGCAGGTACCGCCGGGTCATTTAGTGCAACAGGTTGTGGATGAAAATGGAACGGTGCGCCATTTCTTGTTTTCACCGCCGATGGCTCTGCCGGTAGGACCTCACTATGTAAGTAATTCTCTCTGTGTGTTTTTAAATATTTAAAAAGTGCTCTTGTTTAGCTCTTGATTCCCCTTTTACCAATTCTGAATTTTAAATAAGTTATTGTATTCTAACCACGATTGTGTCTGTTAACGATATTCTTGCAATTTTGCGGATAAAATTACCGAATCAGGGCAAGACAAACTAGTAGATAATTATGGTACCAAGGGTTTTGGCCAAATATCTACATATTTCTCGTATAAAATTACAGAGAATGGGCAATAGGTTGATGCGATCATTTAAATTACAGTAAGATAATTAAGATAGGAATATTTTGATTGTACGCCTATTTGATTGTAAACCATTGGCCAAAGTTCCACGTTCCTCCAATTTGGAAGGGAGCTATGTACGCCTGACAGCATCACACGTAATCGTAGGAATGTAATCTCCAATAATAATTTTGTAGTAGAAAACATGGTACTTACGTATTATCGCAACCAGGCCAAAATTCGCAAAAATTGCCAAATTTGGCGACCCTACTTATGGTAACCCTACGTGTTATACGTAGTTTTGTAAAAAGAGCATGTGGAGATTCACAAAATTTTCCTGCATTTTCGTGCAAATTTTTGTAATTTATGAGAAAATAGCAGTGTACATGGATAAAGTCAAGAGTTTGCGCAATGCCATTTTTGTGCAATTCTGGGATTTTTTTTAAGTAAAAATAAGTCGACGTGTACATGGTTATGGCGAATACGGTTTTCAATCAGTGCTAAAAGCAGTAGCCAAAAGATTTCCGCCGAAAAAATAATTCTGCAACTTATTCAAATTCGAAACCGGAAGGGTTTAATTGCTATTTTATATTTTAAAATAAAATAATATAGAAAACTGTATTAAAAATTATCTGTAATTAATAAATGTACATTTTCTTTCTATTCATACTTTTTTACTGAAACTTACAAATAGCGCCAACCTGGTTGCGATAATACGTAAGTACCGAAATTACTGTATGTTTGGTGCAGTTTATCACCACACTCAGCCAAGAACTAGTTGAAACTAGAACTAGTTTTCGACAAACAAAATTGTCGAAAGCATTATGCTGATAAAAGTCAGAGACGACTTCGACACCAGTCTAAAACTGGAGACCGAGTTTGGATTTTCAAGCACCCAGTGTAAATCCGCTGAACAGAGAGCATCTAAGTTTATGCCAGGCCGTGACGGCTGCTAGTTTATTATAATTGAAAGTTCACAGACTACCTATGAATAGTTTCGAACTTCAAGTGGACCTCCATTAGGCGTGTATCATTCCTTGGCCTTTAGACCTTGTTCTGCTGGTTCCTCGTCGGAAAGAGGGGTAGATTATAGCAAACCAGAAAAAATTTAACTTTCTACTTTCATTCTGAGGTTGAAGTCGCCGAAGACACTTTACTCTTTCTCCTCCTTAACGCTTGACCTTTGCCGCCGTTGGCAGGGAGAAACAAAGTACGCGATTTCGCGGTTGACATATGGAAGCACCATGCCTTAAGAATATGTAATCCACCCCGAGTTGTAATCTGCGTATTTGTAACCCTTTAAAGATTACTTGTCGAGTCTTTATTATGAAGGAAGGAAACTTAGTTCCTGTTAGAACGGAAAGAAATGAATTTTAGTACATAGGTCGGTCGAAAAGTAAGAGGCAGTCTAATATAGTAGCTCAGTACTAGTAAACATTAGAGAAATGAAATTTTGTAAATAGAATCATTGCTCCTTTGGAACTGTCACTCAATATATGATCTATTTGCTTTACTTCATTGCAGCCATCTTTGTACCCATTGCAGGAATGCAAGTCCATTCTATCGACTGCCTTTTTATCCCAGAATCGAAATGAACAGCAAGGTTTCATCACACGTGATGATTTCAGTAAGGCATTTTGGGCATTCCCAAAAGAAACTATGCAGAAGATCGTCATACACTTCCTGATCAACAGTGTGAAACTCAGCAAAATTTTTCTGTATTTCTGTCCTTAGATGAGAGTTAACAGGGGTACTTTTACCATACTTGTGTGCTGCATGATCTGTTTCGTTGTGATCCGTCTGTCATTTTAGATAAATTAATGGCTGGTCATTTTGTTGCAGTCACCCCGATTTGAAGCCTTCGATACACATTACTTCGATTCATTGCATTGTCTCATTAGACTGGCAACAGCTTACCGTGAATCGAATCCCCGGACTTACAGAGGAATTTGATAATTGCATGTTGGGCTAATAGGATCTCATGGGATCGTCCATGATAGCTTTCTTGCTGCAGTAAGAAATAAAAATTGGATAGAGGTTAGGTGGTAAAGGACAAATGCTTCTATCTACATAATTTCATTTCTCTAGTACTTACCGTGGATTGTGCATTACTTTTTCACAGACTTACTATGTTAAGAGTTCTGTAGTTATAGAGATACAAACTTGATTCCAAAACTGAATTTACCCTCTTTGGTATATCAGAATTTATAAATTTATAGCTTTTAATTGTACGAATAACAACTTATTTGAATTATTTAAGTCAGTTCGGGACATCTTTTAAATATCTTCGTATGAAATAATCATGAGGATTAAAAGCTTATCTGAATGTTGGTCATTTGGTGTCATTGTCAGAGAATTTTTTTTTTTTTTTTTCCCCCTCCATTTTACCTATTCTTATACCAAATGCTGCTTCGCGCGTCCCCCACAAATGTCTTCGATTTTATAGGTCGAACTTCATATCAGGGCTGTGTAGTCAAAGAAGTGAAAGAAAGCCATCTATGAACTTTCATTAAAAATAAAATTATTGTCAGAACAATTGGAGAATTCGAATCAGGACAATCAAACTGCAGACATTGCATGTCTCCATCATACTCTTCCAGTGATGACTTAGATTTTGAGAAATATCTGGATAATATTGAAAGGGCTACGGCAAAGCGAATGAAAATAAAGAACCAAGAGCCTTTTGATATAAAAATGAAAAAAAATACGAACAAGATTTCTACACTGCCTTTGAAGAAACAAAGAAATATGATTGCTCATGCAAGACACCTCTTTTACAACTTATAAAAATGTATCCTGAAAAGTTAAAAGAAGTAGCCCTAACAGTTAACAGCTCTTCCTCGTACTCAAGACAATGTGGGATGTTCTCGGCTCTGAAGTTTATTTAATCAGATCTATGGTCCTCTAAAAAAAAAGATCTTGCCGAAAGAAATTACTAATGCCAATTTTTCTGTTTCATAATAAATGCTTATTAATATAAATAATTTATTATGCCATCATTTTTTTTTCCTGTAGCATCTATTACTTCTTTTATATAAGCTGCAACCCATGTGTATATGTGTACATATATATGAGGGAGTCGGAGTCTAAAATTCCAGGCGTCGTAGTCGATGATTTTCCCTACCGACTGCACGGCCCTGCTTCATATTGAATTAATATCGGCGAATCGTGTTGTGTTGAACTTATGCAAATTATCTTTCTAGTAGCTGACAATCGTTCTGTCCAGTATGGTGAACAAGATTAATATAACGCTTAGAAGAATGTATGCCATCATAAAGTTTTACTGTCAGTTTTGTATACCATATGACTGGGATTTGTGGGCACAGTAGATTCTCAGTCCAGTTATCAGTAAGATTTCGCTAAACTACTACCCCTTTCCCAATAGACACACTAATTTGCGCATTTTTCTATCATCTCAAATATTAATTAAATTAATTTATTTGGGGAAAGAATACCTTTTTTTTTTTTTTTTTTTTTTTTTGTTTGAGTGATTGAGGAAGACTTATTTTACACAAAAACAACATTAGAGTTTTTTTTTTTTTTTTTTTTTTTTTACAAAGAATTTTGCTTTTCTTGTTAAAGCGAATAGCGTTTCTTCAGTAAAATAATAAAGATAATAACAATTTCGTTTTACATTTGTTTTTAATATAATGGTGGGTTTGTTTGCATTTTGCTTCAAAAAGGCTTCAGATTGAATCAGTTATAGCAAAAGACTAGCAGTGTAGTTTTCCTCCATCTGTAACGTGAATGCTGCCTGCTGGTCTTAAAAAGTCCTCCTCAAATGTATACTCCTTTTAGGCAGTTAACCCTTGAGTGCTTTATCGTAATCTAAGTAATTTAATTCGTTTGAATCAGAATCCTCCTTTTCACGTTCACAGAAATAACTCGATTAAAATAACATTATCTAAAATATAATTTACCGTTTGAAATTCGAAAATTATCTACGATTAATGAGAAGCTCTCATTATCTAAAAGAATTATTTACATTACTTTTGTAAAATTTTATTTCAATAAAATATTCTTCCAGGATTAAAGATCCCATATTGAAAATGGTTCAAGCTAAAAAAGAAAGCTGTGTCTTTGAATTAAAAAGAAGCTACTTACAGTATAGGAATTGTGTTAGTAAATTAGTTGAAATGTAATCTTGGTAATAAAATGCTTTTTCATTTCTTTTCATTTTTATCTAGGTTTTGGGGCACTCTGTACGAGCAAAGTAATGCCGTCTTTTCATGAAGCCACCCAAACCAATATCTTCGACATAGAATGTCTTAGTTCAGCACGGCGTCTACGATGTATTATTTTGTATCGTGTTTTCATCCGCCGCTACTAGTTTTTATCCCGCCTTTAAAAAAAAGGAAGACTTCAGCTTTTTTTTCGCCTTTACTTTTGAGCCTTGTTACGTCTTTTTCGTGACGTCCTCTTGAAAGACAGTCCAGGGCCTTACCCTCTGCTGCTCTATGAGAGATCCGGGACCTACGGCCAATGTTTTCCAGCTGTGTCGTTCAGTTTCAGAAAGTCATTGCGGAGGAATTTTTGCCAGTAAAAACATTTGGCAGGGTAGTGCCCGGTTTGGCGACCGACCTTGCATTGTTCAGCTGCCAGATGAATGCGATTGAATTGCATAAATTTAGATTTAAGAGAGCGGTGAATGGAACTTGCTGTAGGAAAGTGAGTCATTAAGTATCTCATTTCGTGCCATGGTGTTAAGAGTGTTAAACATTCTACACTGCTGTTTGTTTTCTAGTCGCTAAACATTCT